AGGCATCCTCTCCCTGGACCAAGCGTCACCTGGGTTCTGTTGTACATAGGGTCAGACCATGTGTGTGCATGTATATACGTAATGTTATTATTTTAAAGAAATGGGTGTTGTTAATTGCTATCAAATCAACTTCAACTCATGGCAACCTTATCTACATCAGAAAAAAAATGTTACCAGGTTCTCCACCTTCTTCATGATGATTGGCGTGTGTGAATCCATTGTTAGGTGTATTGTGTTAATTCAGTGTGTCCAGGGTTTTTCTCGTTTTTGTTGGCTGCCCACTCCGCTGTACGTGATGTCTTCTTATAGAGATGAATCTTTCCTGATACGCAAAGTAAGTGAGTCTGAGTCCCGGTAAAACACATTCTGGTTGAATTGTGAGTGATTTCGAACATAGCAGGCTCATCCCCCAGCAGAATGTCTGATACGGTGTTCGTTGGCTAAGACTTGGAAGTGGACCATCAGACCTTGCTTCTGGTTTGTTTTGGCCGGAAGCCCTGCAGAACCTGCCCACCACGGTTGACTGCTTACGTTTGAAATACCAGTGGCCTGGCTTCCAGCATCACAGCAACACACAAGCCACCCTTGTAAGGCAAATGTACGATGGCCCTAGTCATTTCACACTTAAGGATGGAGTCTTCGAAATGCACATAGACATCCTCTAAGAATTCTCCTGGGAGTGCTACTGAAAACTGGAAACAACTCAAATGCCCACTTAGAGTGGATGGGATAGATTGTAGGATATAATGCCTGTTTCCAGTAGACTGATACGGTGCCACCCAGTGGGATGGGATGGAAGTGAATGACCTCTAACCATATGCCACTACGTGGGTATATCTGATATATTTTACAAACATATCAATGAGTTTCAGAAGGTAAACACAAGGAGTAAATACTGTGTGCTCTCATTTCTATGAAGTCCAAAGACCATAGACAAAACTATGCCGCGGTGATTCTGTGGTGTTGCAAGTGTGAACAGTGGCTGCCCTGGGGTAGAGGATGAGGGCTTTGCTGTGCTGTGTAGAGGATGAGGGGGGGGTGCCCGTGATGCTGTTCCTTCACCTGGCCACAGTTGCCTGGGGAAAGTTCATCTGCTGTTGCTCTTTGGTACATGAGTCTTTCCCAACTCAGCTACCCGTTTACAGCAGAACGAAGCACACCCAGTCCTCTGCTAGCCACCGGGCTGGGAGGTTCCAGCCTGTGGTAGCCAATGTGCCGATGTTTTCTTCTTTTTTAAAATCATTTTATTGGGGGCTCTTACAGCTCATAACAATCCATACATCCACCGTATCAAACACATTTGTACATATGTTGCCATCAGCATTTTCAAA